CTTGTTTTCATCCTTCCACACATTCCTTAAGCATCTGCCTGAGTCTTGCCTTCTATCTGCTCTTGCCCAGCACAGCGGTAACAAGACAGGTACCAGCTAGGTTCAGGGAACCCAAGCAAATGAGGGCGAGGGGCTTTAGGTCCCACACGGGGGTGGAGGTGGCAGGAAGTTTCTCAGTCCCTGTTGGACATGACCTGCAGGGCAGGGGCACGTGAAGGCCATATTACTTGGCAGGACTGTCCCCTAAAAGCCAGGATGATGGGTTAGGTCTATACTTTAGAAAATTCGGTCATTTCCTTCCTGTCACCTGTTCCCTAGTCCCTAACAGGAAATGTGGCCCTGCTTACCCAAGGAGACGGACACTGCTGCTTCTTGGTGATTATGGGCACAGTCAGGTGGCAGAGTAGACTCCAAAACCACCTCTAGTGCCCATGGGATATATCTGTACAGCAGCTACCTCTGGGACACATCCGGGCTTGGGCACAAAGCCCAGTGACACACACAGGTGACACTACCCAGCCAAGGCCATGTTTCACATGCAAGGTGCAGCCGGTGACCCCAGGACAGAGTGGGGCCCTAGGCCAGCATCCTGCTGTGGAGCCCAGATGTTCCTCTCTTCTTGTTCTCTGGGCAGAGAGGGTGAGGGATGCGCTCAGGGGAGCGAGGGAGACCTCACCCCCTGCTGCTCTCAGGTGGAGACAGGAAGCTCCTGTCTTGGGGGTTGGGGGGAGGACTTGACACCAACCTCTCCCCGGTGACCGGGTCCACCCTTTTCAGTGTCAGGCGCTCGAGGATGGAATCCATGGGCACATTCAGGAAAAACACCCTGTGGGGAGAGCAGCGCACCCAATTTGTTAGTCTCGGCTTTCTGACACCTTGACAGCTGTGGCCTTGCTAACCCCAGCCAGCTCTGCTGTGGCCCTGCTGTTCCCTGCCCGAATCAGGCCAGGTGCTGGAACCCTGAGCCACTCCACTAGCCCAGGGTCTCCACCGGAATCACCAGCCAGCCCTAAGGTTGTGCAAGCTGGCCCTGTGTGCCCTGCCTCTCTGGTACTGCGAATGATAAACAGGGGTCATTACTGCCAGGGGTCACTCAGTCACCTCCATAAATTCAATCCTGGTACAAGCAAGACCCACGCAAGCACAGGGTCACCTGGAGAGAACCTCAGTGTGGACTCTGTCAGCGTGGACAGGACTGGCATCACTTCCCACCCAGGGTGGGGCCAATCGGAGCCGCCCCTGTGGGCTCTGGAACACCGAAAGCAGCGCTCACCAGGCAACAATGGCACGAGAGGGGTCCCCTATCTTGGGGCAGCTCCAGGCCCTGGCACTCCTGGGGGAACTTGGAGACATCATCCAGATGAGCTGCCAGGAGTAGATGCCCCATCCTCACAGGACAGTGGGTTCCCTGGAGTCACGCAGCCCGGATTATAGCCTCCCGTGCAGTGGACTTGTCGCATGTCCTGGGGCTGCTGACCAAACCCCTCTCAGACTTAGTTTTCTCCTCTGTAAAATGGGCTGATGATGGCTCCCTGTGTGGAGGGTTCAATGAGATGAAGCATGAGAAACTCAAAACTCCAACGTGGCTGCTTTATCACACAGCCAAGCCTCTCCCTGGATGTGGACCGGCTGAGTCCCCTGTCCCCCTGGGGCCTAGTGATCCCAAAGCGCCAGGCTGGCAGGGGTCTTAGAATTCCCAGGGCCATCTGCAGCAGCAGTCCTGGAGCCTTTGACACATGATGCTGATGCCCATTATGATTGGGTCTAGCGCCGGACCCCCCAAGACTCAAGCAGTTGTAGGTGGGGCTGGATCTGGGTGTCATACTAGGATTAAGGGTGTGTGGTACCGAACTAGGCCACTGATTGGTTTAGCATTGTTCTAGGTTGGCTAGTGGGCAGGCCCACCCTGGGCGCACAGTAGAGTACAGTGGGAAAGGGGGCTTGCTTCCTGCCCTGCCATGTCTTTCCCGCCCTGCCGCGGGCTGTTCCTCGTCTGCCAGGGCCCTTCTGCCTTGGGACCAGTGGCCTCTGCCAGCTGCAAGCTGAAATAAACCTTACCTCCTTCAACTTGTGGGTGTTGAGGATCTTGTGTCAGCAACAGGACACATGCCCCTTGCCCTGTCATGCCAATTCTGGAGGTCCCAGAGGGAGCCCCATGGGACCCAGCCACTTGCCCTGCTGCTCAGGGTTCGCGACTCCCATCAGAGCCCTAGTGGTTAGACGGGTTAGAGCAACAGTGTTCCCCAGAGACCCAGAGCAGGAGCCCCTGGAAGGGGACTGGTCATGGGACACTAATCTATCGGTGGAGTCATCCAGGGATGAGCTCCTGCCGAATGGCCTGTTAGGAGCTGGGACCTGGCTGGAGAAGAGGGTTACTTGGGCAAGACCTAAAGTGTGGTTGTGTACCCCAGCCATGCTTTTCAGGTGGCCCCTCCTGGTGCCTCCTGGCTGCCACAGGGAAGCGGCCTTGCTCCAACTCCCTCCTCACGCTACACATTTGCCATGACTTCCCCTCACAAGATGGCAGTGAGCAACAGCCCCCAAACGCAACACGGAGCACAGACGTCTGCGCCTGTGGGGCCCTTCGGGGCCTGCCACCACCCCACAGCACAGTTGTCACCGCAGCTGCTTGGGATGCCACTGTCGGCGAAGCGAGGAGGCCGGTCTAGAAATCCCTGGTAAGTGGCACTCCATCAACAAACTGGCTCCCATGGAAAGATCTGTAACCCAGCCTGCTAAGATCGCTTCTTGTTGTTCAAGGGGTGGCCTGGCAATGACCGTGAGGAGCAGCAGCACAAGACACCGTGGGGCACCTGAAGTGTGTCCCTGGGGGAGCCTGGCTCCACAGGGCTGCAGTCCTGTATTTCTTTGATGAATTCCAGTGGACCAATTTTTTTTTTTTCCCCCCAGTGGAACCAGGGATTGAACTCAAGCCCTTATGCTTGCCAGGGAAGCGCTTATTCCACTGAGCAATCTCCCCGGCCCCTTATCAATGGATCAATTGTTGATGGGAATTTCTGCTATGTGAGATTGCAGCGCTGTGTCCTCGTCCACCTAATTCACCAGAACTGGCATGGTGTGACTTCTGGTTCTTCCCCAGAGTCAAAATGTCATGAAAGGGAGATGCTTTAAGTCAATTCGATACACTGATGCAGGCTGGCGAGATAGCTCAGCTGACTGAGCGCCTGCTTAGGTAAGTACAGGGACCAAGGTTCAATCCCCAGCACCACAAGACACACTGGCCCTGCCCCTGGGCATCCTGAGCCACCAAGTCCAGGTGTGGTGGTGCATACCTGTAACCCCAGTGCTGGGGAGGCTGAAAACAGGAGGATCACTATGAATCTGAGCTGTGTAGTGAGACCCTGTACCAAATACATTAAAAAAACAAAGATCCTGAGGCAGCCACAAAGCACAACTAACGACACTCAGGAAGGAGGAGTTCAGAGCTGCTGCAGAAAGTGGCAAAGGTGGTGGGATGAGTGTGTTCAACGCAGGAGGGAAGACTTTCATGGCGATGTCTTCTACAATGAGGTTTTTAATTTAAGGACTCACCATCCTTTTGGTCACACCTCATTTTCAACAGTACGACAAAAAAAGGGAGAGAGATATCAGCAAAGAATACACAGAGCAGGCCACGGGGCAGATGCTACAGTACAAGCGTGGTGCCCGGCCTGACCAGGGCGGGAGTCACACCTGCCTTTGGGATTGCAGAGGTGGGGCTGGCAGCAGCTTAGGGGTGGGGTGTGGAAGCGCCTCAAGAGCCCTTAATCCTGTCACGCAGGGGCACACCAGCCGCCGTGAACTGTTGGTAGGCAGATCTCAAACTGCACTGACTCTTGCTGAAGAGCCACAGTGAGTCATGGGCACTGAAGAAAGGCCTCGATCCACATTTCCGAGCTGCCTCTCATGTGAAGACGCTTTGGATGGCTTCCAGAGCACGGACTCTGGGGACTTCCCCAGAGCCAGGAACCAAGACCTGCAGGAGGGGCTGAGAGGCCAGCCTTTGCACCTCACTAGCTCAAGTGACCCTTGTGTTCACCTGGGTGTCAGGACCATGGCTTTGACCCTGGGTCCACCAGAGCGGTTTGAGGACATTAAGGCTGAGTCCTTTCCTTAGAGATTGTGGTGTGATTGGTCCAGGGAATAGTGGTGTGTGTGTGTGTGTGTATGTGTGAGAGAGAGAGAGAGACAGACAGACAGACAGACAGAGACAGAGACAGAGACAGAGAGACAGAGTCTCACTACGCAGTTCACGCTGGCCTTGAACTCACTTTATAACCCAGGCTGGCCTCTAATGTACACAATTTTCCTGCCGTGGCCTTCCGAGTGCTTGGATTATAGAGTGTGCCACCACCACTGGCTGAGCACAGGGATTTTTAAGAGCTCCTCATGTTGTTGTGGTGTGCAGGCAGGCCTGAGCTTCACTGCTCTGGCCCAACCTACGTGGTGTAGGGGTGGGGGAACGGAGTTACAGAGAGGTGAAGCACTCACACCCCGTCCCGGCTATGGTGTGGCTGGGCAGCAAGTCCGTGTACCACACCCCCATGCACGTCCTCTTGAGAAGTGTATCAGTAAGACAAGCACGCGGCCTTGGTGTCCACCCGGCTTGTGTGCCAAGCGACTCCTCAGTCCTTCTAGCTCTTGAGCCTCAGTGTGCTCTGCTGCTCCGTCAGTCTGTCTAGCCATGGTGCCGGCCACAAGAGGAATACAGGCCACCTTTTGAAACTACCATCTGTCCTAAAAGCTCAGGCCAGGCATCTCTATCAGCAGGCAGGACCCGCAGCGCAGGCCCTCGGCTTCGGCAGCATGGCTGGTACTAGGCACAGCGCTCCCAGGGCACACATCTGGGGAGCGGCGGCCGTGTCCATTGGTTTGGGGTTGTTTTTTTTAAGAAACTCTAAATCTTTGTCTTTTAATGCAGAGTGCTTTGCCTCCATGTGGCAAAGTTTGGTTGGATGCCTGGTAATCATGTTCTCCAAACTCACTTGGAGACGGGGTCCAAGTGGGTTTGGAGAACATGAATTACCTGTTGAAATAAACCCATAATTTTAAGTAGGACTCTTGGTTCTTTGTTTTAAATGCAGCTTCTCTCTCTCTCTCTCTCTCTCTCTCTCTCTCTCTCTCTCTCTCTCTCCCCCTTCCTTTCTTTCATGGTACCGGGGATTGAACTCAGGACCTTGCACTTGCCAGGCAAGCACTTACTCTACTGAGCCATCTCTCTGGCCCCGCAGCTTTTTTTTTCTGTTGGCATCTTTAGAAGAGTCTCCTGCTGTCTCCCCATTGGGTCTGTCCATCCTTTCCAGGGACGTTTGTCTTTTTACTCATTTTGGCAGGAATTAGCTCGTGAGATACCAAAAACTATGTCTGAGAAGAGTGTGCATAGACAGAAGTGGTAAATAAAATAATATGTGGGCCGGGCTGGTGAGATGGCTCAGTGGTCTAAAGCACCTACTTGGAACAAGCTTGGCAAAGCACAGGGACCGCGGTTCAATCCCCCAGCACCACATGCCAGCCAGCCCCGCCCCCTGGTGGGCTGAGCTGGCCACATATACACACACACACACACACACACACACACACACAAATAATAAATAAATAATTTAAAAAATATAATAAGAATATGTGGGCCATGCAGTGACTAGAATAAATGCCAGCTTCTGCTACCCAGAGCAGGTCTACAGGTGAAGTACCTCAACTCACTTGTCACTGTAAAGCCCGCTGCTCAGTACAGCTGACCCATCACTTGCCGTTCACTGGTGGGGTTTGATCTGAATGTGCAAGCGATCGACTTACCACAGTTGTTGGCATCAAGCCTTCCTGCGACTG